TTTGGAGGTATTGCATAGTATTTTTCGGAAGGGGTGTTGCATAGTAAGCTGCTGTCTCTAGGAAGCTATGTACCAGTTACCGACTGAAGACATTACGTAGCAGCTTGGAACGGTTACGGTAGGTAGGCCCTGAGTTCAACGGTGATGACAGATGGTCTGACATTCAAAGACGGTTGAAGGTAGGGAGAATCTCGCTCTTCGAGAATTTTACATGTGAGAGACATCCAAGGGATGTCTCTCCGATAGCATCCATCAAGGGCGACAACTTAGGTGACGAAAAGTGTGGTAGTGCGCGCCATGGGCGAAATGACTTTTTTTAGCCCATCTGCCCCCCCCCCTAAACATGTGGCATACGGCCTCGAGGCTCGAGCCCATTTCGTCGGAATGTTGGGTTTTGGGTAGCAGATACTAAAAAGGCTTGTGGACTACTTCAGGCATTCTGCAGCTGCTCTGAGCCTCACTCAACCAGTCGTGTGAGAGATTTGCAACAAGTTCATGGAGCGTAGGAGTCGAGCGGTAGACGGCAAAGGCGCGCACTCCCGACTGCCGGACCAGCGGGACTAGTACGTTTTTGAACCATTCAGCAAACTGTCCGGGAAAGTTTGATCACCAGATCTGTTCGATAGTTATTAAATAGAAATAGATAACTACGCACTTGCTGGTTTTGAGTGAGCGTCGAGAACTTCGCAGAGGACGAGCTTATGATGGCCTCCACAAAATGGATCTGGATAAACGGCTACCGGCTGAAATCAATAATCTATCTCGTTTTATATTGAATAAGAAAACCATTCGTCACCTTAAGAATCATGTCAGAGTCTTCTCCTTTTTCTGCTTGAAACGTTGACGATCCGTCAAAACTCCAATTAGGGTAATCTGTAACGAACGTTAGTGGGGCAATCTATCAAGCAACATAATTTTATGAACGCTCACTTTCTGGTGCGCCGGGATCCTTAGCCAGTGTGCGCTGCTTATCTCTCATTGCTTCTCCTGTACCATCAATCCATATGTATGTGGCCTGAAAGTCCACAATGTAGACTAGATGTGACCGACGGGTATCTTATGCCGTCCCAAATTGAAAGATTAGCGTTTTCCTCTAGAGCAGCAGTGTGCAATGACTCTCCCGCTAGTAGAAGAGGGGGTGCAAAACTGATATCGTAGGGCACCGCGGCTTTGTGTGTTACGGTACCCAATTGAGCCTAGGGAGAAAGAAGGAACCCATGGAAAGCAAAACGCTCACTCAGCTCTCCTCTCTGAGGCTTAGTTCAAACTGCGTGTTAGCTTAATACGTTACCCGCAAAATCCCATTTTCTTTCCTGGGCTTAGAAGGAGACTCAGAATTTCACGTTGAATGCTCGGTCCTTCAATGAAAGAAAAAACGAAAACCTCGCTGTCTCTATTATGGTGCACGCTCAACATGTCCTAACATGTCAATGAGGTCGAGCATACAAAACCCACTTATGCCAAAAAGGTCCAACGAAAATAAGCCCGCGTTCATAGTTCGCGACTGGGAGCAGAGTCAACCCTGCGTTGCGCAGTTCGCAACGGCACGTTGAGAGATCCTCAACGCACGCTGTATGGGCGGAGACGCAGACGGCTCGAGCATGCGAGTGTGAATGTTCGCGCGAGAGAACGTGTCTAATCGGGCGAAACTGCGCAACGTGGCCGTTGAAAACTGCGCAACGCAGGGTTGACTCTGCTCGGGAGATTAGGATAGTAGGCGACAGGATATTAGGATAGTAGTAGAGTAGGAGATTGCGCTGACAAGATTGGATACGTATCGATTGAAATCGCTGGAGAGTAGTAGATTGGGCGACTTCAAGCGAATAGATCAATACATATCTAATCTTGTCAGCGCAATCTCCTAATCTACTACTATCCTACTATCGTAATATCGCAATCTACTACTCTCCAGCGATTTCAATCGATACGTATCTAATCTTGTCAGCGCAATCTCCTACTCTACTACTATCCTAATCTCCCCGTCAATACATATGTTTTTCATTGTCGCGTACTATCCTAATCTCCGGAGTCGCGAACTATGAACGCGGCCTTAGTCAACACTTATGATGGCCAACTCAACGCAGTCAGTATTTGGGATTGTTTGGAAAATCACGAATTAATTGAATAATTGCTGAAATCCTCGCAGCGTTGATTAGCATAACTGATTGACCGAGTATT